ACAGGCAGGAGATGATCAGACGATGACATGAAATTCACATGCAGTTTGTTTTACTGCTGAATCAAAAGACAAAACCAGATTCACTCCTGAAATATTATTTCTAAGTTGCAGCTGTAATCAGAAAATCCAATGATTAAAGCAAGGGTTAGAAATGCTGTGGTCCTTCCATAGAGATAACATGTACTTTGGCCCTCACACTTGTCCCATCACATCTCAAAAAGCACTTTCCTCATTTGTGCTACACCCACTTTTGCTGTCATTCCCCATGAATTACCCCTGAGGGTTATACCATCACATCTCACATTTACTCAAAGGTGATCATCAGCCCTGACTGTAACAACTGCTATAGTCATTCTCTGAAAGAGGCTAGATGACTCCTGCCTGAAATATTGGTGACTGCCTGGAGCCCTGCCTTCTGCTGCCTTGTTCCCTCCTTCCATGTGAGTTTCTCAGTCAGGGGAGGGAATCCCTGGGAATTATAGCAGAGAATATTTGCTCAGGGCCACGATTTAGCAGAGGGTGGTGAGAGTTAGGGTAGGATGGTTGGGTTGTGTTGGGACTTGATGATCTTTCAGGTCTTTTCCTACCTGAGCTATTCTATCATTCTATGAAGTCTGCATCATAGCTACAATCTATGTTTGTCATTTTGAGTTCTCACATTGGGAATAATGTTATGGCTGGAGACAGGTAATCTACTGCTTTCTGTAGAGTTTGTTCCTCTTTACTACCCTGCCAGTGTATTAGCAGTACAGTCAATTGCTATTAGTTGTAGAAACAGTGTTACAAGGCGTTGTAAGGTTGTTCAGCTTAATGCCTTCTACAGATTCAATGAAAAACTCTTCCTGTGAAGATCTTAAAGCCTTCACAGTCTGGATTACAAAGGGCAGGAGATATTTCTTATATTCAATCACCATGAATTCAGCCAAGAAATGTATTAACTTTTTAAAGAAAAAAATGTATTTACACTCTATTGCATCATAGCTACATTTTTTTTAGGTAAGATTTCCACTAAGATATATGGTGAGGCACTTAACTGAGTGGCCAAACATAATTATGTGTAAAATGAAATAACTGATATACCTGCATTTAAAAACATACAGTGAGATCCTCAGCTGAGTTTAATCATTATCTCCATGATGGTATCAGTGTGGGTTTCTGTGCATTTAAAAGAAAATCATGGGTGCAATAATATCTCAATTATGTAGTTAACCTTCTGGTTATATTAATTAGTGATGATTAGACAAGGGGAACCATAATTATTTCATGCACATAACAACCCTGTGAAATTGTATTGTGCATCTGAACACAAAAGGCAACGTGAGCGCCTCACCTGGTGCATTTCTCAGGTCTCTCCAAAGAGCCGTGACTCAACCAGCAGTGTAGGCACTGTGCTGGAGAGGCTGGTTTTCCTGAGGCATCTGAGGAAATGGTATCAGGAAGGAGGACTCAGAGCCAGTAGAGCTCCCTAACACTGTCCTCTTGTCTTATTTAAGGCTTAAGTTTCTCACCAGGAAGAACAAAGTAAAGCCAATCTCAGCTTCTATCCCAGTATCTCTGAGATAAGTCTGAGATACCTCACAAGTAAAACCTCAATGGGTAGTTAATGGCATGAGGAAAGAGTCCCCAGTTCCACAGTGGGAGGTTTAGATTGGGTGTTAAGAATTTCTTTGTAAAGTGAATGGTCAAGAATAAGAAAGAGCTTCCTGGGGATCTATTGGAGTTACCATCCCTGGAGGCAGTTAGGAGATGTGTGGAAGTGGCATTAAGGGATGCCATTTAATGATGGGACTTGTAGGTCAGGTTAATGGTTGCATTTGTTGGTATTGAAGGTCTTTCCAACCCACATGATCCTATGGTTCTATTCCTGCCATCCAGATGGCAGCATCTTGCTCTGCTTTAGAAGAACAAGTGTAGATGAACAACACAGAATTTCCATTATAATTTGTCCCTTAAGGGTGAATGTCAAAAACATTTTAAAGGAAAAAAATAAAAACTTCAATTGAACATTTTACAAATGTCAGATTGAGTCTTTCTAAAGCTGCCAGCACTCAGGTATGTGTGTATTCTGGTTTGCACTGCCAGCTGCTTAGTGGCTGTATTCCAGGTTGTTATTATTATCATTATCAGTATCATAAGTAGCTTGGCTTTGAAAGCCTGACTTGTAAATCCAACATTCGTAAGTCTGGGAAAGTTTACAAACTTTTTCATCTAAATTCACAGATTAATTATTTGATGTATTCTTTTAATTCTATGGTTCTATCAGCATTGGACTCTGGTACAACATGGACTATAGTTATGTATTGTTCTGTAGAATTTATAGCTCTGGAGTCTTCAATGGATCTACTCTAAGCTATCAGATCACTTCACAGTAAAGCAGGTTAGTAGAAAACTCTGTCTCATAGGGAACCAATTTCTGTGAGGCCTTGGGCACGCCATGGCCTGTGCAAGATGTCACTACCTGGCATTGATTCACAGGACCACAGGCACATGTATCTTTGCAGGATGTAATGCTGTAGGACTTTGATAAGCCGTACATCCCATTTTTTAGTTGATCAAACTCTTCCCTAATATTTTCTAACAGCAGTTGGTAAGCAGCTCCTTCCTAATACATCTCCAATTCAGTCTGGCTTTCAGAATGAAATTTCTGTAGAAAGTTTCTTAAGTGTATTCTTTTTCAACTTGAAGTTTGTTCAATATAATGCTACAGAAGCAATTCTTGCAAATAATTCATTTCAAGAGACTTGTTTTTCTTTTGCTCCTGGCAGTGGTTTTGACAAGAGTGACAGCACAAAACACAACAGAAAGTTGTAAACATTTTTTTTCTTTAGACAGAGAGCTCCTAAATTTCCACCTAAATGGGGAACCTAGCCACTCTGCTTTCATAAGCTCTGGTCCTTGCCTAATCCCAGGGTTGCAGCGCATGCACGAATTAAGCATAATGCTGCTGCTATTCCAGCCAGTGCACTTGGGTGTAGGGATGCTGATGCTTTTCAGGTATGTCAGTAGGATGGGGCTGGGTTGTTTCCTGTTGTGCTGGGCATGTGATCCTAGACAGTGTGCTCCAGGTGACCCAGCTTGAAGCACAGGACTTGGACTGGATGATCCCAAATGATGCCTTCCAACCTTAACCATTCCATGGTTCTGGCATCCTGTGAGGTCAAGAGCTTTGCCTGCAGGCTCTGCTTGGTGCTACACAGGAGTGACAACCTGGGGGCCTGTCAAGCAAAGATCCCCAGATTATGCGTCCTGATCACCACAGCCATCTGAAGAGCCACCAGCAGAAGAATAAATACCTGAAGGAAGGTGCTTTTCATTACCTCACAATTCTTTTTTGGCCTTCAGTTCTATTTACAGCACGAGCAAGGCATCGCCAACTGACACACAACTCCTGACACCAACAAAAAGCTTGCCATGTTCTGATAATGAGCACGAGTCTTCCCTTTGCCACCGTCCACCTTTTCCCTTTCCTGGCACATTAATCTCTTTTTTCTAACTTCACTCAGGTCAGAAACTGGGAACAGACAGAGCAGAATCAGGCCCCTTCTCCAGTCTTGAAGACAGTAAACATGATCCAGATCAATTCATACTCCATAAACTCCATTTTCCCCAAAACCCCAAGTTGCATTCAAGTCACACCATCTCAGCAAACCACCAAAATTTGCTTTTTTCTTCCCTTTTGCAGCTGGGCTACTGGTCATCCACTGCCTTCTGCTCCCTCCTGCCTTAGCCGGCTGCATCTACGTTGGGTGCAGCACAGTGCAGCACAGAAGGCAGCAGCCTGTGCTGCTGGTGGGGACAGGGATGCGTTAAATAACAAAGGAAGTGGCAGAAGGTGAGGGATGCACATACCTGCAGGGCTTTTCTTTAGAGAAAGAGCAAGAGTAGGTTTTTTTAGCTAGTGAGCATTTTAAGAAAAATATAGGACACTCCAAACCTTGACTCCATCTTTGCATGCTTAGTTACCTCTCAGTGCAGCAGAGGGCTGTTCTTGGGTGCTACAGGTATGAACTGACTTTCAAAATGAACTGAAAAGAAGCAGAGTTAATTCCCACAGATAAGATTCTCTAACACCCAAAAGCCAGCAGGAAGCTCAGAGTTATTGCTGTCTCTGCTGGGACTCAGCACAGAGCCATAAGGCAGCTTCAGCCTCGCGGTGTGAAGCACCCCTTGCACACATGGCTGTGATTGCACTGAGCTCTGCTGCCTCAGTGAGCCATCTGCTACACGCTGCTCTGCTTGCCAGCGTCCCTTCCTTGCAAACTCATTAACCACACAGATGCGCTCAATGTGCTGGAACAGAAATGAGAATGGGAGTAATGAGAACAATTCTCCTGCTAAAAGAACTGCTTTCTACATCTGTTCTTTGACTGCACCTTCCCCTGCCCGGGTGCAGCACAGAGGAAATCTCTGCAACTGATCTCCAACTTCACAAATGGAGGGATTATGCACTACAGATACTGACAGCTTTGCTCACAGTCTGGCAAACACCACAGCTTTCATCTTCTCTCCGCAATAAAGTCCATCAATCTTATTCACACACCAGCCCATTCCCCTCTGCCCCTCAGACAGAGCTGGAAGAGAAACCTTCCTTGGGAAGGATGCTGAAATCTTTCCTCCTCCTTGTCCTCCCATTTTAACCGACCCTTTTGGCCAGCCTCCCATCAAAGCCAGGTCAACACGCATCCGCTTGCTGTGCTGAGCTGACCAGTTTTCAATAACAATTTCTCCTTTGTTTTGTAACTGAGATCAATAAAACTGCCCCTCTCTCATATTGGCCAAGATTCCAGCAACGTCATTCGCTCCTTATTGTTGCTACTGCTTCATTCTATTTCCCTCCCCCCCCCTTTTTTTTTTTTTGGCAAGGCACAGATCAATTTAACAAGATGAAAACAACTTAGAGTTTCACTCAAGGTAAAATCTGCACTTTATAACCCAGGATGTAATTTACAATCCTGTCATTAAGCTCGGTTAATCCTATTATTATGAAGATAAATAATTACCCATAGCGAAGAAAGGGATTCCCAACAGAGTAGAATTATATTTTCCATCAGTAATGAAAAATATCCCTGCCGCAGTGACACTGGAAATACAGATAGTGAGTACTCCCAAGAGTCCCAGGAAAGGTTTGCTACGCAGGCAGTCCTTCATGGAGCTCGAGAGGGTAGCAGTCAGGAGGATCAGCATCAGGCTCACCAAAATCTTGCCCCTGGCCAAGAGACTGGTCTGGTGGAAGTCCTTCCAGAGGCTGAAGGACGCCAGCGAGTAGAGCTGCAGATCTTGGTGATCCAGCTGCATCTTGTGCATCAGTTTACAGAATTCACTCTCCCACTTCTCCCCAATGAGGTCCTGGGTGACAGAGCCATACGTTTGGAGGTAGTAAGTGATTTGGATGGCTCTGGCTGATTTGACTCTCTGGTCCTTGCTGTTGGGCACTTCCATGACCCCTCCAAGCTGGTGGCCAATAAAACTGCTCCTTCCATCCTGGGAGGGAAAGTAAAAAGATGAGCATGTGGTTATCCTGAGCAAGAGGTATCACAGCGATACTTGATTGGCTCTGCCTTTCTGTCACAGATAGGCTGAGAGCTTGACACAAAGGCCACTGCATTCAATAGGAGCCATGCCTTTCACTTCAGTGGGCTTTTGGTCACGTCCCTGCGCCTGCCACATCTCTCTCTTTGTTTCTCACTCATTACATTCTCACTTGCAATTCTGTGCTGCAGTTCAGGGACTGCCCAGATATTCACTGCAGTCCCAGACGCTCGGGGACCAAAATGTTGCATGCAAGCTCCTCACCCCAAGGGAGAAAATCATTTTTCCACATTTTAACTGTGACAGAAAACAACAGAAGTTTGCTGTAAGGATCAGTTTCTGGAAGACTCGCTATTTCCTGACACTCAGAAAACTGTCTCAGCAAGTTGGAAATGTACAGAAAATGAGGCCGTAGGTCTTCAGTACAGATGAAAATGTAGGTGGATCTGCAAAGTTTGATGGTTACTCTGTCTCTAAAACAACATCATTAAAATCAGACTTTGAACTGCTTGTTTGAGATTTCACGGATTTCTACTGGAGATACAGAAGTAGAAAGGACCTTAATCCTTGATTTAGCTATAATTATATACATACATCTTTCAAGAATATAAAACATAGCTGGTCTTACTTATTTCATTGCATGCTAGGACATAAAGACTCCATGACAATCAATGAAGGACATGTGTGGTGTACACAGAATCAGCCCCCATCTATTTGCCAGATCAGACCATTCTTTTGTTGACTTGTCTGATCCCATTTAATTTTTTTTTCTGTCTCTTTGTTTGCTTTTTTTTTTGTTTTTTGTTTTGGTAAGGTTTTTTTTTTTTTTTTTTTTTTTTTTTTTTTTTGGTTTGGCTTTGAAACAATAAGATTTGTTAGCCACTGGTTATTCTAGTTCCGTAGAATAACTGTGATCTGCCCCTTTCAATCAGGGGAAACTCATGTGGATTTAAACTATCAAACCTCATTGCAAACTGAGGAAGAGAACCCAGTAGATTGGATAAAAATGTCCTAACACAAGTAGTCTTTTTGAGCAAAATAACCCAAAAGCCAGGGATTAAATGCCTGCTGCTCACCAAATAACAACATTTCATGGTTTTTCCCCCTCCTAATTGGATTAAAAGTTCTCAGTTTACTTTTGTGCTTAATGCAAATATGTCTAAAATTCTCAAAATATGCCAAACATTATGCAGCAGTGAGGTCATGTGAGACAATACTCTGCAAAAAATGGCAATGAGCTTCAGCTTGGGAAATGCTCCACCCTACACACACATGGAAGGAACCACCTGCAACCCCAGAAGCGCCTGGGGAAGGTGTCAAACATCGACCAAGCCCTACATTAACCATTTCTAGAGACAGCTTCCTCTCAATGCTGCGTTTTCCATCCCAAGGAAGAAGCAAAGAAGCACGGTACCAGGTTTCATGAAACACAGTTGTGGTACATCTGCTCACAGAGCCCATAAATATCAGAAACTGAGAGACACTGCTCAAAATGCACAACAAACCCACCTCGTCTTGTCTCTGGTACACAAGGAGGCAGTTCTCCCCCTGAATTTCCTGACTACGCCTGCTTGAAGGCAGGAGCTTATGCTGCTTCCAGCATGTGCCCAGGGGACACGACAAAGTGCTTTTCAGAAGTCCATTTTTTTCCTATTCCCAGTTGTTATTTCCTATTGAAATAATGGCTTCTGGCGAGGTATTCTGGCACCAGCCAACAGACAAGGTGATTTGCAGTCTGATGCCAGCTTCTCAAATCACCTGAAGCCTCATTAAAATCATCATCTAGGCAGAAGCTGCTGGTTGGAGGGGCAGCTGGTGCTCTTCAGGATCAAAAAATCCTCCTCTCTGCCTTTATCGTACTAGAAACCTATTTTAATTCATTATTCCTACTTCTTTCTTTTTTCCTAAGGAGAGTCACACCAACACTCTCACTCACAAAGGGTTTCTTTCCGAGCTGGCAGTTCAGGCTTGAGCAATGCAGTCCCTGCTACCATCGCATGCAGCTCCACAGCTGAAAATCCCCTTTGGCACAGCTTAGAAATTTTAGGAAGAAATGCCATATTTCCTCAGCATATATGCAGTGTCGACATTCAGGTGATTTCAGCCACTGCAGGATACCTCAGCAGCACAGTTCCCACCTCAGACAACGGGCTGCAAGTCAGATCTCATTGATTGGCTATGCAGCATGCACCACAAGGTTATGGGAAACTTAGTGCTGACCATCTGCCTTCCTCTGTGCAAAAAGCACTCAATGACGGCAGTGCTTCGAAAGAGGCATCAGAGCAGGCACCAATAAATCACATTCTGCTGTATCTCCCACGAGGCAGAAGCTAACGGCTATTTGTTACACTGATGTGCAGTAGGGCACCTGGCTCCTGTGGCAGCAAAATAGAGAGTTTCAGAGGGAGCTGAGGAAATCACAGATGCTGAGTTGCTTTGAGGTCATTTTGCCCATCTCCTTCCCTCCGAAGGTGTCCTACGTGAGTGTTTTGCCTTTGATACTTTTATAGCGTGTAGACACGTGCCTGCCACCGTGGCACTTGGAGAACAGACCCTTTTCTAACACAACTCACATGCTGGCTTTCTCTAAAGCTCCTAGAGAAATAAAGGCTTGGACAGCTCTGACACATCAATGGTGACAAGCCCAGCAAGAAATAAAGGTGTGAAAATATACTGTCACTCGTTCTATTTTGCAGATGGGGACTGAAGTACAGGAAAATGATGACCCAGGATGGGCACCGTAACCTTTCCAGGAGCCCCAAGGGCAGACACACAGGAAAGCAGACACCACAAATAGAGCAATAATGATGCTTATTGGCTGTAGAACATTTTACATCCTTGTACTTCCAGATCAGCTGCAAAACAGCATAACTGTCTTCAGCAAGGTCATAGCACAACTGGAGCCTGAATTTCAGGTTCCCCGTGTGTCTTCATTTTCTTTCATTTTATTTATTTACATATTTTTATGTCTAATGTCTCTCTTCTTCCAGAAGGTAAAAAAGACCATGGTGATGGCAGACAATTCTTTTCAGGTCTGAGCGTGTTTAAAAATGGTATAAAATTTAAATGACTTGCTAAGACATGCAATATTTGGCCCTTCAACAGGGCCAAGCAGTGGTCTTTGCTTCAGTGGAGGCTAATGGCTTTGCTCACTCCCTTCTATCTTTCTGGATAGCCTGAAGCTATTTGATAGGATTTTACAAGTTGAAAACAGCTGCTACTACTGAGCGAGGTATCTTTTATGAGTGTTAACACAGGCACAGACCTCTTGTAAATTCAGCCCAGAGGGCACCAGCTTTGGTCCCTTCCTACTAAATTGCAATGCGACCCTTTTCCCAGACTCCCATACCTGATCCTACATGATCTCTGCCCACTGTTGTGCCCATCCTGCGCAAAACATCTGCCTGAAGGACACTGACCTCCACCAGCTTCTCTCTTCCAGGGAAAAATGGGAGATATCAGGTATTTTTAAATGGTGAAAACAGTGTTATTTCCTCTCACCACCCTGCTTAGTGGAGCCAGGCCTGGAAAAAGATTCAACATTTGTTCCAGATTCCCAGTGAGGAGAGCATTCCTCGCGCCCTGCTGCTGGGTCACTCCCATTCTCAGCACCTTCACAGTGCCTTGGGCAGCCAGGGCCTCACTGTACTTATTTTTTTCTGCTTTAACTGGTACCTCTAATCAGATGGAGTGATAGATAATTACCAAGCTGCTTTATAGCAGACATGATTCTTAAGGACACAATTTGTTGGTGGACTTGAGAGTGTTATGCTGACTCCAACGTAAATAAATCTGTGACTGTGATTCAGAGTAATGCTAGAATAGACCATGCAAGTTAAACTCTGTTTGACCTTGAAATCTAAAAAATACTCTACAGAAGGCAGCCAGAGTCATCTGTTGAAGCATACTGTGTGATAAACTTCCTAATGAGATCAGTGCAGCAGTTGCTTGCCATGATAGGGACATTCCTACTCCACCATAAGAAGTATTATGCCAGAACCCACGCAGGTAAGGATGACGTTGGTTACTGTAGTTCAACTAAGGTTTTCCAAGTAGAACAAAAACAAACAATAGAACACCAACAACATAAAGAAAAACACATAATCTGTCCTTTGAAATACGATTTAAGATATTGGGTTGCTTCTCTAAACTTACTGTAAAGCCTTGGAGGCAGTATTTTTGCCTTCACCGAATGGATATCTCTGTCTCTGCCCCTATTATGGTCATCTGTGCAGACCTTGTATGAGCTGATCTCAGTTGTAAAGCCACCGATTGCCACCAATTCCTGGAGCATTCCAGTGTAGCCATTTTCCTGCTGTGAGCTGTGTCAGTGCTGTTGCACAACAACGTGACTGCTGCTGTGCTTGTCTCTGAGTGCTGCTCTTCCAAACAACTGCAGACACAGTGTTCAGAACCAGCCATCCCCAAAGGCAGCAGATGGGAGGAACATCCACACCCCAGCTGAGTGGGGGCAGGAGTGCAGCGATGGCCAGGTTGGCTCAGGAAAAACAAAATGTAGCGGCATGATGATGAGAAGATATCCAGGAAACAATCCTGCAGGTCTCTATGACAGTATTTACAATCATTCAGAAACCGTGACATTCAGCTCATTAGTTAGTCAACCAGATTAATTCTGTAAGCATGGGGACGAGGCCGGCACATACAGAGGAGTACCCGCGCCATTCCAAGGTTTGAGTTGAAAACAAACTTTCCCTCTGCAGGTCTCTCTCCATTTCCTGTAGAGCCACAAGCTAAGAAGCCAGCAGTGGACAAAGCACCTTAACTGATCCATACTGTCATCCCTGGTGTGGTTTTAGGAGCATGACATGTATCCAAATGACCACCAGGAATCCTGCACCTCTCTCTGATGGGTCTGGGCTCGTTCTTTTACTGCTTTGGGTTTTCTAGCTTTCAGTCATCATTTGGAAAGAGACAAGAACAGGAGAAAAGTA